GCTACCTACCACTGAAAACAAGAAACAGAACATCACAGTTCCCCAGAAGTTCCCCTTGAGTCCCCTCCTAGCCACTACCCCCTCCAAAGGTAATCACAAAACAACATAGACTTATTTTAGCTGCTTTGTAACTTTGTATAAATGAAATCACACAGTATGTACCTTTTGTATCCGGCTTCTTTTGTTCAGCATTGTGTTTTTGAGATTCCTGCATGGAGTTGCATGTAGCAAAATTTCTTTGTTTTCACTGCTGTATAATAATCCATTGCATGAATATATCACAATTTATTTATCCATTCTGTTGTTTATGGGCATTTAGGATGTTTCCAGATTGGAAATATTAAGAATAGTGCTGCCATGAACATTTGATAAGGCATATGTCTTTGGATGAACATGTATAAGTTTCTGTAGGCTGTAAGTCAAGGAGTGGAACTGCTGGTCACAAATATTTATATTTTCAGCTTTAATAGATATTATTAAACAGTTTTCAAAGTGGTTATACCAATTTATGTTCCTGCTAACAATATATAGGTGTTCCAGTTGCTCTATACCCTCCCCAACCCTGCATTGTTTCTTACATTTTAAACATTCTGGTGGATATGTAATGGTATTGCATTGGAGTTCCAATTTGCATTTTCCTGATGACTTATAAGGTTTAGTGACAATTTGGGGGGTTACAAATTAAATCATGTCCACAGTAAAATACCTAACAATTCAGAAGTATAAAAAATAAAGCCAGTGGATTTGTTCCCAGGTTTTGGCACTGAAAATAAAAATAAAATGTAAAGCTGGTGGTATCAGTTTCCTAGCCTCAGAAACTGAGACTGTATATTATAAACACAAGTTTTCTCAAAGTGGAGTTTGTGGAACCCTATGGTTCCACAGACACACTTTTTCTAAGTCTGTACATTTTCTTTACGAAATGAAATTTTGTACTTACATTTTGGAGATCATCTAAAATATAGTTTAGGCATTCTTTGGGTCATCTGGATGACCAGCTTCTAACCAAGTATTGCCAACCAGCTTTGGTACTTTTATTCCCGATTATATTTATGATTGCCATGATGCCAAGTCAAGGAGTAACACACAAAAATAGACACAAAGCTAGTAAGTTCGCTCCAATTGCAGGCCCAGTAACACGCACTGTAGGAATGAAGGTTTTTAAGTGGTTTGAATAGAGAAAAGTTGTGGAAGAACAGGATCATCACAGTAGGGAGAAACCGAATGAAAAGAATCTAACGGAGTAGTCAATTCCGTTCTCACAGTTAGGGTAGCCAGCTGCAGTGATGCGGACCACAGAATTTCTATAGTTTTGAATAGTTGCCTTTTAGTATAATTTTAGAATTTGTCTTGGGTTCTATCATTTCATGTGTAAAAACTACAAGTATAAGGAGTTTGTAACTAGTTTTCTGTTCATACATTTTAAAGCCACGTTCTCTGGACTAATTTAAATCAATAATACAATTTTATTATCTATCAAAGGATTGCTCAAGTCTCAGAAACACTAACCTAGCAGGTAACTCGATGCAGAATTTCCAGACCAGGGCCTTCAACATGGGAAAATATCAGCACAAACAACCATACAGGCCTTTGGCTGGAGAACATCAGCTTTTGAACTTGAATGTAAATTTGAATATCCATGTTTCTCTAATCCAATCTCTATCAGAAAGACTGGGCCTAGGGACTAGGCTGGTTTTGCTTCCTAACCTGTTTCTACCACATTTGAGCCTCAGCTGCCTCTTCTTTAAACTAGAGATTAATAATAATACGAAACTTGCGTGTTTGCTATCAGGATTATATTTAACATATTTAAAGCATCTGGGGAATATTACCGGTGTTCAATGGTAGCCACTGATATTACAGGGACATTTGACCTGTAAGTTTTGGGGATGTTCCATGAGCTTTATGTCATGCTTAAGTTCTTTCCATACTTGGGAAAATATTTTAAACTGAGTAACCCAGTATTATACATATAATCATAAAAGCTCTTAGATTGAAATCCAATTAATTGAATTTTTATCAACTTCTGTTTAGTTAGATAGTTTAGTATTTCAACCCTCCATGTTGGAAATATTTCTGAAGTCTGCCAATTCACTTTTTATCCAGTAAAATTCTGTAGATTTGCCTCAGCATCCCCAGTCAGACTAAAATCACTGAAATGTGAATGTCTACGTGGGTATAAGTAATAAGGTGTCCATGAAATTGAACTAAATCTATCAGATCATAAACCAGAAGTTTATTTTTATATGTATGAAAATCTTGATACCTGCTTGCTTCCTTGTGATGGATTTTTTTCCTATAATTGGAATATAATGAAGGAGAGATTCTTATCCCTCTGAGTTTAGAAATAGTAACAATATTTTAAACAATTATATGGTCTAAAGCAAGACTGGTGCAAAATGATGATGTTTAAAGCTTTTGGAATTTTGCTTTACTTATAAATTCCATCTTTTCCCATATTAGTAAAAAGAACATTCAGAATAAGTTTGGGAAACATGCCTAATTGTGTCTTCTCTGAGCGTCAGAATCTGTCCTATTCTCCCCATTTCAAATGCAGCCATCTTGGTTCACATCATCCTGCACCAGATGCACAGCATCCTGGCTGGTTTCCTAGCTCCCACCCTAGCCTCTTCCAATCCACTCTCCATACAAAATGTGAGATTGACCTTTCTTAACTGTAAATCAAATCATGTCACCACCTGCTTAAGACTCTCCAATGGTTTCCACTGCATGAGGAATAAAATCCAGTCCTTGGCTGTGATGCATACAGCCCTACCTGATCTGTCCCATGCTTCCGTCTCTCACCTCTACTCACACCACTGTTTCCCTTGCTCACTGTGCTGCAGCTCCATGGGCTTTCTGTCTCCAGATATTCCAAATGCATTCCCATGTTAGGGTCTTAGCACTTTCTGTCTTGGCACTACCACATTTGAACCTCAGCTCTTCTTTGAACTAGAGACTGATAATAATCTGAAACTTGCATGTTTGATATAAGGATTATATTTAACATTTTTAAAGCATTGAGACAGAAGAAGAAGGAGGAGGAGGAGGAGAGGAAAGGAAAGGGAAGGAGGGGGAGGGGAGAGGAGAAGGGGAAGAAGAAGGAGACGAGAGAAGAAAGGGAAGTTCTTTGCCTAGTCCTCTGCCTAAAACACTCTGTTCCACAATCTGCACGGTTCCTTCCTTCTCTAACTCCTCAGAGACGTCTTCCCTCCCCATACACACCATCACCCTGTGTCCAACACTCTATTTTATTTTCTCTTAAGTATTCAACACTCTGGTTTCATCTGTACCATTTGTCGGGTAGCTGGCTTATGCTACAGCATCTCTCTCCCTAGAATGTAAGCTGCAGGAGTGTCCTGTCATTCAGTGCCTAATATGATGCCTATACATGGACGTCTCTCAATAACGTTGCTTGAATGAATGAATGAATGAATGAATGAAAGAATGAAATGAACAAATACCCAACTTCAGAAGTCACCTCAGTTCTAGTCCTGGCTTCTGAGTAATGGAATAACCTCTGGCAAACACTGAAACTCTTTGAACCTCGGCTTTCCCTAGAAATAATCAGGATGCTGGTCTAGATGCCATTAAGGGCACTTCCTATTCTATATGTTCATGGTTCATATTCAAACATTATTTCCAATTTCCCTTCCTTTCCTCCTCTCCTTCTCCTCCTCCTTCTTTTCTCTCTCTCTCCCTCCCTCTGCTCCTCCCTCTGTCAGCAGCAGCACTCCCTTGGACTCACCAGCAGTTCTAAACCAGCTGGAGACACTTTATGCCTAAACACAAACCTTTTGAGGATGCACGGTCCCCAGACAGTGAATTGTCCTCACAACTATTGTAGTGTTTCTTTTCCCCTGCCCAGCCAACCCCACCAAAACCACACCCTCCACTGCCAAGCCACAGCCCCACCCTGCCTTTGGAAATAAAAATGGAATAGAAGGATCCCTGGCTTCTGAAAAAAAAATATGCTGCACAAATTTTAACTAGTATGATGTTTCTAGAGAAATCAGGGTGCAACTCAGGATTGATAATAACTTTAAAATTTCTTTCTTATATAATAAACTCCATGAAGCTAATAGGATACAGTGATATCAGATTTTAGATAATGCCAGACAAACGTCCAAATTACTTTTTCTAGACCACACCTAATTACAGTGACTCTCCTTGTGTATGTTTAACGTGTAACCACTTAGTTTACAATATGCTAGAAATAGACATTAAAAACAACACAGTGATGACTAGACAGCAATGTTACACATTAGAACTTACATTATTCCTATTCCAGATCTTGTAAAAAATGATCTTAAGAAATGAAAAAGGGAATTTCTTTCATGTCTAGAAGAATTGAAGTCAATATCAGATTTTAATTTGCCTGTAAGCGCATAGCTGCAAGCCAAGCTTTTAAAATTTAAAACCATATGAAGGCTGAGAATCACAGCATTTCTGAACTGAAAGAACATTGTGACCTTCATTTAACACACGGGGAAATTGAAACTCAGGGAGATCAAATGACTAGGCCAAGGTCATAGACCCCACTAGTGCTGGAGCTGGAACAAAACCTCTGGTCTCCTGTCAATGGTTCCATGCTTTTCTCATCACACCCGGCTGCCTTTATGAGACACTGGTTATTTGCAACTTTCAATCATATGTACCAGCACATCACAGAACATGGTAGGTTAGAATATAAAACCATGAACTGAGAAACCACTTGAAGAATTATATTATTAATTTATGTATTTATAGTTCTTGCTAATATTTGCTCGAGTTTATATGTCAAGTACTGTACTATGTGTCACTTTTATTTATCCTATTTTATCCCCAACTGGCCCTATGGGCTAAGTAATAATGACAGTCACTTTTCTAAGCCTTTTACATCTAACAAGTCATTTATTCCTCAAAACTACTCTATAAAGTAGTAGTATTACTTCTATTTTATAGGTGAAGAAATTAAGTCATAAAGTGGTTGAGTCACACTCAAGTTCAAACTTAAGTACATCCCCTTAAACCAATCCGAAGGCTACTTCTCCGTGCTATTCCACGTACCCATTAGTTTCCACTTTGCTATCACCAAACATTAGAAGAACAAGTAGCTTAACTCAAGCTGCTTCTCCCTGCATTCACCTAACTTCTCAATATTAGCTGGCGGTAGGGACATTTAAAGACAGAGGAACCAAAAAGGAGAGAAGATTATCTGCAACCTGAATCACTTGGACAACCCAGGATTTCACTATATCAGCCATGCTTAAACTGCAACAGGTATGGCTGTGGACCATGAGAGCACGTTTTCTGCACATGCTGGCCTGGTATAAAAATATAATCTGTAAATTACTAAGTGGGCTAGATTTTTTCCACAAGAAGGAGCAGAACCACATTCATATTACGTCAGTCAGTGGGAAATTTGAGGCAAGAATACATGAAGAGGTGAGGAAGCACAGGAAATGGCCTCAGTGGCTGCGGGCAGGCTTCAGGAAGCATCATTCAGTTTTCTTCTCATTGTAATAGTAGCTCTGGTCATTCAGTAGCAGTTCTAGCTGCCCACCACATTCAGGACTGGACTTCTCTGCTGTCCCATCTCTTAGCCTGCTCACTAAGAGCTGACTTTTCTGTCTCTCTGACCTCTCTCTCCTTCCTCCCTCTGTTCTTGGCCTCTCTTCTGCCTCTATTTATCACCCATGTTTGTTTGTTTGTTTGTTTTCTCCTGTAGGGTTACCGATCAAACCCCATGAGAAAGAGTAGGTCCATGAGTAGATCTACTGGTGAATCGAGTAGGTGGTGCTCCCATTGGGTAGAGGGATCCCCAGATCTGTAGATGGCTGCCTTCCCACTCCTCTCCTCACTGCCTCGCCAGAGAAACATCTTTGTGTCCATTAGCTGCAGCCAATGTAGCAGGGTCATAGAGAACAAAGCATGGACCTAAATGTCTAGAAGGGAACCTTGAGCACAGCAAATAATTTGTATGGCTTGTCTGGTACAAATGCAAATCCTATTTCATGTACTGATGGTGTTAATCAGGGCAAGTGGTCTTACTGAAAAAAAATTATTAAACTTAAGGGTAGAAACCAAAAAATAAAGGGTCCTTGCTAACTATTTTCTCCTTGCAGACTTCCGCTAGAGTTCCCTTTTTAGCTGCGGCATACTCAGAATTGGACACCCTCAACTTCTTTAATGCCCTTGCTCCTCAACTCTCTTCCCTGTTGAATCTCTAGTCAGAAATTTTAGTTGACTCAAGATGCAAGAAGCATCTGTTACCTGTCTTGTTCTTTTATAATCCAGAGGTTCTGATAAATCTGACATTTTTAAATGGTTAAACAATGGAGGTTTTTGAAGTTGTTTTGTTAATGGGGTTGACTGACCAGGAGATGGAAATCATAGGACAGCTCAGTTGCAGACCATTTTGTATTTTTGAAGTCCTCCTCATTGAAATGCCACTCCCTTCCTCCTTTGTACTTCCCTGGGGCTCTGACTTTGCCAAACCATAAAATGAAAATCCTTCACAGCCCCATTCAAGGATCCTCTCCTTTTCCATGAAGCCATCTGGTTTCCTGAATCCACGTGATCCTTCTTTTCTCTGAACTCGGTATCGTCTCATTGCCTCTGCTGTTCATGCATGGACACATCTTGCTGTAATTACTTTTAGGAAACCATGAATTTTTACTTGTTTATGGTAAATTCCTCACAGGCAGAGAAAATGAGCAATGTCTTATTCCCTAAGCCGCCTAAAACAGTATCTTGCATATAAAGGTATGAAAAAAATAGGAGAGGGGGATGCATGGGAAAAGGCAGGATTGTGCCCACTTTATAGATGAGAAAATTAAAACACATCATTTGGGAACTGGGGGAAAATATTGCTCATGGTGGCCCTAAAGTGCAGAAGCAAAAAGAGAAATGATTTAAAGGTAGAAGTAGAGGACTCAGGCAAAGAGTAAAAGAAGGAAGAAGAAAAAGAGCGAGAAGAGACAGAAAAGGAGGAGATGCGTCACTGGATCGCTAAGATGAGCAAATAAGCAGCAGAGGAGGGAATTTTTTTTAAGAGGATGAGATGAGAGACAAAAGCAGAAGAAAAAGGCAGAAAAGCACTTTTATCATCTCCTTAGGAAAATGCTTTATGTCAACCAGAAGAGCTAATTTGGGCTTTGGGAAGTAGAGAAAAAAAAATGAGGAAGGCTCTATCCCTTGGTAAAAGGTAAGAGAACTGAGAAAAGTAAATAGAAGATAAAGGGGAAGAAGAGAGGGAAGTGGCTGATCCTTTTTTGGTTATTAAAATTATTCCACACAAAATCAAGTTTTGACAACCTTGCAAAATTAAAGGGAAAAAAGAAAACCACATTGAAAGGAACTGAAGTCTAGATTATACTTTACTTGTTACGTGAAATATTTGACTATACCTTGAAAGTTACTTCCACCTTCTGCTTTAATCTAATGATGATGTAGACCCAAATAGCACCCTGAGATGTTGAATGCTCCTCCAGGACCGGGAATGTGACCAGGCATGTGATGCTTTGAGTCTGAAATTCTGTGCAGTTTGGATAAATGCAGGCCAAACTTCTAAAGCATACGTTTAAATTCTTTGTCATCAAATGAGAACTTTTCAACCATTTTAAATCAGAACTTTCAGATGTCTAATCTAGCAATGTCTTATAGTCATCCTAAGTTTGACACCAGAGTCCTGCCCATCATGCAAAGCATTGGAGAAAAATTAGTTCTAATTTTATTTAAATTAGAAACTCAAGACAGATTTGTGACATCTTTTCTGTTGGCTTTCAGGACACCTCTCTTTAGGACATAGTTTTCCTCTTTCCACACTGACTGCTTCTCCTCAGTTTTTACTGAAGACTCCTCTTCCTGGATTCCTCCCTTATGAATTCCTCCTAGATTCCTCCATTTTTCTAGAATCCATCTTTGATTCTCTGCTTTTCTAACATTACACAGTTTCCTTGGATCACATGTTCTATTTCTGTTGTTTTCATTATTATTCAGAAACAGATACCTGCCTCCCCCATTCACTATCTGCCACCTAATTCCTCTCTACAAATCTTCAGAACCATAATTCAAAGGCTCTGGATATCTACAGTGTGGTCCTCAGGCTCTGCAAACTTGTCCCATCCAAAAATTGATCCTATTTCCTGCCTCCCTCCCCCAAACTTGTTCTTTCTGTCATCCATCTTGTTTCCCAAAGCAAAATACTGGATGTTACCTTTAATTTCTTATTCCACTACACACCAGGTTATTTGGTCACATGGAGTCTACCTGTTAAGTATTTCTTGAACTGTCAACTTCCTATCAAGCTTGGTTCACTCCTACTCATCCTCAAAGCTCCACAATAAAATCCTCCTGACTTTCCCCAGATTATGCTAGGTCCCTCAATTTTACTCTTTCATTTTACTCTGTGACTCTCTTTTATAGGTTGGTTTATGGTAGACTAAGCTGATATAACAAATAGACCCAAGTAAGTGATAATTCAGCCATCAGGAACTATTTCCTACTCACGTAACACTCCTGGGCTAGTGTTCATGTTGTCAGTGCCACTTTTCTCCACACATTTAGGGGACCTGGCTCTTCTCTATTTATTTCTCTATCACACCCTATCACTTCTACTTAGATGCCATTGGCTAGACTTTAGTCACATGATCACACTCCATTGCAGGGGAGGCTGGGAAATGTAGTTCAGCTATCTCCCTGGAAAGAGAAGCACACAACAGATTTGGGGGGAAAGCAGTCTCTGCCACAATAGCACCTGTCACAGTGGCCATTTTACATTTATTTATACAACTACTTTTTTCTAATTTCAGGAGGGAGAAGGGAGGGAGGTAATTAGACGTATTTATGTATCTATTTGGAGGGAGGTATTTGGGATTGAACCCAGGACCTTGTGCATGCTAAGCATGAACTCTACCACTGAGCTATACCCTCTCCCCTCATGACTACATTATTAATGTCCATTTTTCCCACCAGATTTTAAGCTCTGTGAGGGTAGATGCATTTTTGTTCACAATATGGTCTCAATAAGTCTCTATAAATATGTGCTGAAGGAATCAGTAAATCCTTCCTAATTTAGATCTCTAGCAGATTTAGCCTGCAGCACTACAGCAGCCTCTCAACTGACCTGTCTCTTCTCCTCGCCCCCTCTGGAGTAAAGCCTCTCCACAGTGATCCTCCTACACTCTGCCTTTGATCCTGCCATCTCTTCTCCTCTAAAACTCTCCTACAGCTCTTCATTGCCCCCGAAACTCTTGATTTTGCCATGCAATTCCCTTCCTGTTTATCTTCCCCGCCGTACTTCTCATCACTGTTCTCTTTCCACTCCTTCCCGTCACATATGCACACACCCTCACTCACACTCCCACAAGTACTCTCTCCCTTTCCAGCCTAGCCACACTGAAACCCTGACACGTCCCCCCAGAGCACCATGCCCCTCCCCTGGCTAACTGCTCATTCCCTTCCAGTCTCGGCTTAGTTTGTCACTTTCTTGAGGCTACCCCTTAGCCCTCAAGATGGTGTTGGTGCCCTTGCCCTGTGCTCCCATGGCCCTCTGCCTACTGTAGTGGCTATCTTACGGTTTGCCTGAAGTTATCAAGTACTTCTCTGCCAGCAGACTGCCCTGCCACATCGTATGTTAAGTGTTCCCAGCACTTAACACATTGCTTAGCACATAGTCTACATCCTGGAAATAGAGGATGGATGAATGAATGTGATACAGAAAAATGGGGCCAGAGAGGATGGGTGAGTCCCAGGCCTCAGGTGAGTCCCTGGAATGCGCCCAGTTAAGTGAGGGTCCTTGGCTTTGTGCAGGAAAGAATTCAAGAGTGAGTCATAGTTGAGTAAAAGTAGATTTATTTTGGAGAGATGTACACTCTATAGACAGAGTATGGGCTATTCTAAAAGGCAAGAGAAAGACCAGGAGGTGCGGGGTTGTTAGCTTTTACGGGCTTGGGAACTCCATATGCTAACAAGTAGGAGGAATATTCCAACTACTTTGGGGAAGTGGCGGGGATTCCCAGGAATCGGGCCACCGCCCACTTTTTGACTTTTTATGGTTAGCTTTGGACGGTCTGGATGCCTCATTTCCCAAGCTAATATATTACAAGGTCTACTGGAAGTCAAATCTCCTGCCATCTTGGGCCTCAAGGTCTCCTGAGTGTTGAATCTTCAACTGCTCTGTCCTTTGTTTAATGGTTGTGCCCTGCCCCCTTCCCTCCTGTCTCAGACTGGTGGAAGGATGGATGGATGGATGGATGACATTTAGTAGGAGGAAAGTTGTGAGCCATCAAGTTCAGCTTTTAAAAAGATCAGGTATCACTGGTGACATCAGTTAAGAAAGCTTCAGTGATGGAAACACCCAAATTCCTAGGTAAAATTGTGCTAAATATAGAAGTGTTAATTATCAAAAAAGTTTTTCAAGTTTCTTTCCATAATCTTAACCTCTTAATCTTCTTGCAAAAGTTCCAAAGAGGTGCTTTTCTTCTCTTCTATAACATTAATTTTTAAAACCCAGATGGCCTTAAACTTGTACTTTCTGGTGGTGCAAATAGTTGATAAGTTGTCTTTTCTCTTGATTTCAATATAGAGCAGGAGATATGGTTACACAGAAGCCCAACATTTACTTCACCTCTTTTTCCTGGGGCTCATGGAACTTGATGGATCTCTAGACCTGTGAAATATCAGAGGACCTGATTTTCCCCATGTCATATTTGCTTCTGGGTGCTCCAAAGTCTGGGAGCCTGAAGGGATGGGGCTTGGAGATGGGACAAGGCTTGTCCTGGGTCCAGCCTCCCAGTGTAAAAGCAATTCAGCAGCCAGAATAACAAACACCCAATTTACGAATTTGCCATGGAAGCTGCCCAAGGATCATTCCTGGGTTCCTCTGAGTGTATTAGATGAGCTGGAAAAAAAAAAAGAAGCAGCAACTCATATTCTGATGTAAATGTCAGTAGTCTATCATCACCTGAGCAAGAACAATAGATTTCTAAGTGCTTGTTACTGCTAGAGGCAATGGAATGAATCTGATGAGGCATTCACAAGGCAGGAAACTTTACAATTTTGATCTAAGAGTAACAGCTACTTGCAGAAGTAGAAATAAAAAGATCCTCCTGAGAGGAGGGTATAGCTCAGAGCACGTGCTTTGGATACAAGAAGTTTTATGTTCAATTCCCTGTATCCCTATTTAAAAATAATAATAAATAAATAATCCGAATTACCACCACCACCACCCTCCCTGAAAAAACCCAAAAACAAACAAAAATCTTCCTACTTAATTGACCTGCCCAATTACATCTGACATTCCTGTAAAAATAACCAAAGGAATGAAATGAATAAGTGTAAACTTCTAAACCAACGCTTCTATTCTAAGAATTTTACTCATCTAAATTTCCTGAAACTTAGTTGAGCAAGGCTGTAAGCTGTTTTGATTTTTGTATGGAGCGTAGAAGGGAAAGAACAGCACACGCTCTGATTTAGCGTCAACTTCCCTGTCTTATTTTCAGCCCAGTCAGAAAACCACGCTCTTTGCTTGCCTCACTCCTTTATTTTTCCAAAAAAGTATTCTCTTCTGTGTAAGGTTCTGATCCAAAATAATCAGGATTGGAAGCTGGGCTGTTTTTGCTTCATTTCTGTGGCCTGAGTCATTCTCTCCAAGACCAGGATGCCCTCAGGGAAGATACAGAGGAAATGATGTAATTCTCTTTGGTCTTTTTCACGCTTTGGGCTTTTTCTTTGGCCTGAGCCTTAATGAATCTGTTTTCTAATTAGCCAGCAAGGAGTACAGTGAAAAAAATGTGGGTCTCCTGCCTCTCCCTTCCTCACTAGATGCTCACATACTGTTTTTTCCTTCCGAGAGCCCAGGTGATTTTGCCAGAATTAGTGCATAAATCTTCTCAGTGTCATTGTCAAACAGCTGGAAGCAAAGGTGTTTTCTTATGCCTACTTGACGAGTTGGAAACCAAAAAAAAACAAAGTGTCATGTTCAAGGTTAAGCATTGCCAAAGGCAAGGGAGCAGCAGTGGAGGGGGTTGGAGGGGCCCGGGGAAGGCTAACTATCTCCCTCTGAATTCTTCAATCTCATCCCCCAAGCAAGGCCTTTTCTATGCAAATAAAGAAAGCAAAAATCTAAATTCAGAAAAATACATTTAGAACAGACTTCATATATTAACTCGATAAAGACACGCTCAGTTCCTGTGCATTTTGGACACCATATCATCTCATAACTTGGAATCGGTTTTCCTCTCTTTCTCTAATATTTGGCTTCTTAGTCTCTTCTGGTAAACTGGCAATTGGCAAATAGATGCGCTTTAATTTGATGGGGGGAAGAACTGGGATGCTTGGACCAGGGTTTCCCCCCAACACTTGCACCCCGACTTCAGCAGACTGGAAAACCATACACCTCGGGGCTGTTCAAAGCACCTTCTCAAGTACCCTCCCCTCTGAGCCCCAGGACTGGCAGTTATTTTAACCCATAGCTCTCCCTGTTGAAATGATCTGTTCAGTCTGTCAGTCTCTTAAACCAGACATCAGCTTCTTAAGGGCAGGGGCCAGTCTTAATTTATTTTGATAACCCCAGCACCTTAAACTTTAGTGGAAGCTCATGAAATGGCTTCTGGAACTAAACTGAAGAAAAGGAGGACCAGGTGAGGGGCTAGAGGAGAATTCGAGGGAGGGAAATGAAGGGAGAGAGAGGGAGGGGATGCCCAGAGGAGAGAAGAGCGGAGTTCAGGCTGGCACCCCAAATTACCTAGAGGCAGCTAATCCTTATTTTTAAGAAGGATCCAGGCCCTCAGAAGGAAGCAACATGCTAAAGAGTTAATGGAAAGATTGCATGGAAACAGAAACCGGCTTATAAAGTCAACGGGTATTCCTCAACCAGTGAAATTGCTGGGATGGTGGTTAAAAGACCTATTCCTGGCTCCACCCTGGACCACGAGCACAAACTCTTTGGGGACGGGACCTCAGAGATTTCTTAACAAGCACCCAGGGTACTAGAGTTTGAAAAGCATTGATGTGGTCTTTCCTGAATTTATTTTATCCCCCTCCATTCCACTCAGGTCCAATTAGTGCAGAATGTTTTTCATCAGAGACCTAGCTAGCCTTCTATGGGAAAGCCAGGGTTGTCAATTTGGAAAGACCAGGAGACTCTAGCATATCAACTATGATGTCCTTTTATTCATTCTGCCCAGTGTCACTGCTCCACATAAACGTGCACGGACATGCTCGCATGTGAAGTGCACACGAGCTCGAGGAAGATTCCAGGTCTCTGCAGGGCCAGTGCCTGGGGTCACTTGCCTCATTCCTTAAAATGCCTCCTGTGCAGGGCAGCCCTTAGGCTGAGTCTGAAAATTAGGTAGGGGGAAAAAAAGAGCTGTTTTTAGGGCAAAACCTCTGTGGACAAAATTCCGTGTATTTCAGACATTTGCCTTCTGTTTCTAGATAAAAACCAAGGGATATCTGCAGGAAAGAGAAAATGAAAAGGTTAATTCTATTTTCTAAAACTCACTACAGATTTGGTGACGGGTGAACTTGCATTTGGCCTTCATTTTTTCCAAAGTGATTCATTCTTCTTGGTTCCTGAACACCTGTTTAAAAACAGGGCTTTCTTCTCTCTGTCCTTAGGGCATGCCAACCATGTTTGAAACCATGAGGTAGGTCTAATACCAGGGGAGGGGTGGGGGGGGGAGAAAAGTCCTATTTGATCTACATAATATATTCATTGTTTAAAATCATACATTGCGCGGAAAGCTGTGGTTAGATTTGTGGTGTGAAACAGGCAACTTGAAGCAAGCTCTCAGAGCAAGAGTTTCCATGCCCAAGGTGAATGTTTACATTATAGGGGATGGAATCCCTGTTAATACCTTAGGTTTTCCTTCCATGAAGACGGTGTTAAGTTTGGGGTTTTCTTTCCCTCCAAGTTTTTCGGAGCAGCCCACAATAAAAAGGAAGATTCACCCAGCAGAATTTACTTGCAATGAAAACTGGCCTGTGTCTCCCAAGTTTACTCAATTTGTACGACTCCCTATTGCTGCCTCCCACTTCCCTGCTTCTCTTTTTTTTCAGCTCCTTGTCAGTTAATTCACATTTCCTGATTTGGCAAACAGCAGCACCCGCCTCCACAGCCCCACCTCCTTTTTCTTGGGTAAAACTTCCTGAGTTGACATTAAAGAAAACTGTTACCTCACCAGAGAGCTTTAGCAGGAAAATGGCATTTAGGTTTAATTACATAAAGCCCCACAGTAGTTACCACTTTATAAAATTCAAGTGACTATTTTCCAAGCTCCCTGTTTTCCAAAGCCTGCTGGCTGGCGACCGCCGCCGGGAGGGTGGGATGCTGCCCACCCGGGCCTCCTGGCCTTGGCAGGCAGCAAGGGTGAAGGCCCTCCCAGCGCTCACTGGCTGCAAGTGGCCGGCAGCAGAGTGGGCTGTAGATTTTCAAGGCCATTCTGGAATCTGCAAGAAGAAGGGCATCTGTTACGAGACAGAGAAGAACCACTCTCTGGACCATTTTTACTCAACGACGCACACCCTCGCCCTCCTTCAGAAAAGCCTAGAAAAACAGGCCAGGGAGCTAGTCACGCCACAGCTTCTGTCCCCTCATCGGCTTTCAGGGAGAAGTGGGAAGTGGGCTGTTGTTTTCGTCAGTGGTGACCACAGCCTCCCTCCGTGGCCCCTGCAGTCACTCTCTCAGAGGCGGGGACTCCAACTGTTCCACCCTCTTCCTGAAAGTGCTCCACAGTCAAGACTCGGTCAGCTCCATCGGCACCTTCCTGGGACTCTGCCTAGGCCCATGGTTGCTTCTCCTGATGGCATCTAAGTCATCCCTGACTTGAGGGAAAAGAGTTGATTTTTGATTCACTTCATCTAGGACAGCACCTGGCACATAGTGCTCAGTCAGTGTGTGTTGACTAGTGAATGAATTTGAGGAATTTCTGAAACCAGAAAGAAGATACGGGAGGATATACTTTTGGACTGAGGAGAATCTAAGATACCAGGGCCGGAGGGAAAGGATGGGACTGCATGGAGGAAGGCAGCGTTTAAGTGATGGAGAATTGCCTTCTTGGTCATTGAATGTTTACAGTAACTACAACTGATTGGGTGTCTTTGTTGATATGACACAAATGAAGAAGCAGAGGCAGAAAGTTTCTACATGCTTACTAAGCTGACACCAAAAGAAAGTGGCAGGGGTGCCTGACTCCATAGGGTGGTGCCCTTTCCACCACACTGCCATTGGTTCCCTGACTCCAGTTCGGGACAAAGGCTAATCAGATTCAATTAAAGTGCACCCCACCTGGATTCAAATCCCACCTCTGTGATTTTGGCAAGGCTCTGAATCTCTGTATGTACCTGTTTCCCTATAAAGAAAATAAAAAGGTGGGACCTGGCATTTTATGATTCTACTTACACCCCCAACAGCCCAGTGGGGAGGAAGGGAACGAGTGTTAATAACTCCGGAACAAGAAATTGAAGGCCAGGAAGACTGTATGATTGGCTATGTGGTTAAGTAACATGTCAAGTCAGTGGCCCAGAGAAAGACCAGCAGGGCAGGAGGTATCTTGACACGTCACAACTGTCACCTCTTCTCCAAACCACATAGTTTTAATGGCTCACGAGAAAGACTGAGTGGCGTGCTAAGTTGAAGCTGTAGGGAATTTAAAGCTCTTTCCTTACGGTGACTAAAACAAAGCTTTAGAAATTGTAGCATGTTGGGGAGCCCTGAGGCTCAGGGATTTTGCAGGCCAGGCAGGCTGGATGTGAGGGTGGATGCTACTAGTCCTGGTGAATCCACAGAAGTCTATTAAGATGCAATCTGTGGAAAATCTAAAGTGGCCTTGGGCTCTAGGCTTGTACTTGCTTTGCTGTTAACACACTGGAATGCTGTCTCTGATGATTACTTTTCCATTTTCCTGGACTTGCTGGTTAAATGCTGTATGTGAAACACTTTGAATCATTTAAGTGGGGGAGAAAAAAACAAACAAGTCTTGACTTCACCATAACATCAGACCCACAGTAGTGGCTTTGATCATTTGATGTTTAATTGAGCACATACTGTGTTTAAAAAAAGCTTTACATACTTCAAGTGTTAGGTTTAGTGTCCCTGTAGCTTTGGAGAAAGGTTATTTAGCAAAGAAATCTTTCTCTCTGTGTCCTTTGCAGCAAGGGCAGGGTCAAATATCTTCCTTCTTCAACCTGTGAAGTCGGTTTTGACTTTTTTTTTCCTTTTTGTCTGGATCGTATTCTATCTTGGCCGGAACAGAATCATTGGGCCACATGATATAAGCAAAAAAGCCAAACTTGTAAAAATTGGGCTCCGATCCCACTCTGTAACACTAGCCCTCATGAAAAATCCAACATTTATGGAATTCCTTAGTTAATGATTTAGGAATCTCCACTCCACCCCTTGTACCACCAGACAAGAGCCTCTCTCCTTTCTTGGGTCTGGAGCTAGGCCACAAACCTGAGGGCTGTGGGGCCTGGCTTCTCCAATGCATGGCCCTTGTGGGTTACCCTTGAGATTTGCTTAGGTGAGTGCCAGCCTGGCCAGGCTGCAGGTGCCCAAGAAAGCCAGGAAAGCGCCAGGGAAAACTTGATCTGTGAAGAACATGATGTGAAGGGTACACAGTCTGTTCATTTCTTTTATAGGATTTAAAACTATCTAGGATGGCAGTGATACAGGAAAAGATGGCAAATGTCAGCAGAAGGGAGAGACTTAGCTTGGACATATGGGCTTACATTCTTCCCTGAGAGAAATGCTCTCCTGACCTGCTCTAGCCCCAAAAGCCCAGAGGAAGGATTTTGCTGGCACACTTAGGGTTTCTAAATGTATTACTTTTCCCTATAGATTTCTGTCATGTTATTAAAAATTGGACTCAGCATCCATGTCATCTTTACAAGTTATTTGTACGTGATATCTTCATGTTCTTTCTCCTAGTTGCTGCTTATTTCATATTTATGTGCATATTTCATATATATGAAAATATATATCTTGTTTCCCAAGCTAGCTCCTTTGCTGAATCTTTATTGCACACCTACTAGGTGCTAAGCAGTGTATATAGTATTGTGCCGGAGAATGCCAAGACTTAGACATTCTAAGTAGAACCTCTTGAATGATTTTGGCCTTTTACCCTCTCTTTGCCCTCTTTGCTTTCTAGTTAATTTATCACATGTACTTCCTATTTATCTTCAATTTTCTGTCTAAAGATAAGGTGCTAAAATATAATTTTCAGAAAGATAAACCAAAAAAAAAAGAAAGAAAGATAAAACCATGACTCTCATACAAATATAAAATGAGTATGTACTAAAGACTTTAACTTGTTAATTCATGAGAGAACCAGAAAGATGTTACAACCAGTTGAAAGGACAATTTGAAGAACAAATACGTATGTAGGCGATCTGGAATGCCGAGAAGGATTTACTAATAGATGAAAAATGGCCTGGCACACAGTAGGCACTCAATAAATGTTAACTGTTTGTGGCCAATGTCTGTCCGACCTGGTAGTTCATAATAAACATCACTAAACTAGACCTGATTGAACAGAAGGGTGGGTGGGATGGAGGAGGCTGGTGATCGGCAACTAGCCATGAACAGAGGGGCCACTCACAGAAGACAAGTCTTGCATAGCAGGCTGTTCTGCAAAAGATATTTGAAATGTTTACACCAATTCCCAGAGTCGCTTAGACTTGCTTTTAATTTAGGATTATTCTAAGACCAGACTAGACAAGCAGTGATGAATTTCAGAAAACCTCCCAAGCAGATAGCAGGTTTTTGCATGCCACACTTTAACTTCTCATTTTCAGGTAGAGAGAGGTGAAAGGGTTCAGGCGAGTGGCGGTGAAACTGTATTTTAAGTACTAAAATCATAAAGAGATGTTGCTCCTTGGGATGGAAGGGCAGAAAAGGAAAATCAGCTCTGTTCCATGGCCAGGAAAGCCCCATACCTGCCCTGGCCTAACCATGGATAGTGGCAAATGTCCAGACCAGATCATTCTCTGAGCCTAAGGTAACTGAGTGAAACATACTTTTTAAACTCTTCTATGGAAGTATTTTTGTAGCTTTACAAACATTTGATTCAAATTTCATTTTTTACTGTTTAAAAATTAGTTATGAAAAGCAAATGGTTTGATTAATGCCAGACAAAGCATTTACCAGAAGCCCCACTCACAGCTTCATCCTCCCTCTAGTTTGGAGAGTGGGGTCAGAGTGGCCCCCACCATCAGGGGACAATCTCCCTGGGGAGTCCTGCTCTGGATTAGCTGTCATACTCAGATGGGGCAGGAGTAGAATGACAAACCTACATGAGGAGTTCCTAGTTTTAATATTTCCAATACCCTGCAAACAGCGATTTCCCATTACTGATGTGGATTAGATGACTGATAATTCACCTTTCTAATGTGAATCTTCCTAAAGGAGGGCAGTGGAATAAATTAATTTAAAAAGTAAACTGGAAAATCTTTAAAAAAAAGCAAATGGTTTTAAATAATGAAAAAGTTCTGGAAATGGATAATGGTAATGATTGCACATCCTCGTGAATATATTTAATGCCACTGAATTGCACACTTAATGATTAAAATGGTAAATTTTCTGTTATATGTATTTTATTACAAGTTTTTAAAATTTAAAGCAAATTCATATTCAATGAGTTATATACTAAATTTTCAGAAATTGGAGACTTCACATATGCTATCTAGATTTTATGTAGACTTTGAATAAAGTCTTTAATCCCATCTTTACTTGAAGAACATCCTGACATCAAAAGGTGACTATTTAAAAAAATTGTTGCCATTTGCAATTACATTTATATCCAAATCAGACTTGTTTTGCTATTTATTGAGTAACCAAAGCTAAATACAGAAATACTTTGGAGGATGAGGCTGTAACTATTTTCCATTAAGTCCTATGTCTAACTGTTTTTGTTAAACAAAAACAGCTCCTTGAAATGACATTATAATGAGGAGCTTTAGTTTTAACATATAAAAAAACGATTTATGCTAAAAATGCCATTTTAATCTATTTTGGGATACTGTTGAGAACCCATTGCTTAAAAAAATAAAGTTTGAAACCACTCTACTACATCATTTTAAAATTCTCTCTGGCTTATTTATTGTTGTAATTATAAAATATTTAGTGTTTAAAAAAGATTTATAATCTGTGGGTTGCTTTAGCAGCCAATGAAAAAATATAATATAAGCGAGATGTATATTTATCTTCAGAATAGGGAAATCAAAAAGATGGAAATATCCAATAAGTCTATCCCCTACCTTCAACTGGCTACAAGTAAATCATAGACATTAGACTCCTAATTTCTTAAGGTCTGGACAGAAGAGTTATGCTAATTTAATAGTTCTTAGTCTTGGTCTTATAATGTTATTTCTTAAAACCCTTTTGTTCTAATTTAATCTTCCTTTTCTGAGTTACAGAGCTCTTTCAAAGAAAGAGCTTCATCCTTTCCAAGTTATCCAGACCAGGGAGGGCCTCCCTCCCATAAATTTCCATGCAAACGTGATGTGTATGTGTTTATCTAGGAAGAAGGTCATCGTTTTATCAAATTCTCAAGGGATTTATGAGACATAAATAATTGCCTTCATCCTTAATCCTCCTTTTCTTTTTGCTAATGTAAATCTTGCCTATGAATCATCTAAAAAGGAATTCTGCTACAGACAGTATGATCGGGTCACCAAGAGAAGTAAATCCTTGAAAAAGAACACGTCCATGTCCCGTGCATTTATCTCTTCTGGGAGAAAATGTCAACACTATGTTAAAATCCCCATGCTACTATGAGATTGCACTTGTATTTTATTTTCCAGTTTCTAGTTGAATATGAGAACATGAACCAAAATCATCTGAGGAAAAAAAAAACAAAATAAACTAATACAAGAGACAGAGAGTTGAATGATAGATTTCATATTCAAATACATATCCAAGAAATTTAAGTGATAACATATCAAATGAGCTTGATCTATTTCTTGACAGTTTGACATTATAGTAGAAGGAAATACTTAGTTGAGACCAGGAAAACATTGCTCTTTCGTTCTTTAAATGTCGACTCTGATTTTTTTAAAATAAAGATCTCTTATAGGATTTTCTAAAGCAAAAGGAGTCAGAAGCTATTGATTTTCTCTTCTTTCCTACTAAATGCATTTAAATAAGCTTTTTAATGCAGTGATTTTGGTGGTTTGGTAAGACATCCAGAAGATTTAAGTCAGAGGTAAATGTTGACTAGGTCACCCTACTCCAACATATTCATTTTCTCATAATACCCAAATTAATCAATATATCCAAATTAAAGGATTAAATATAGTCATGACTATTAAAAGCACCTCTCAGACTGGAAAGTTCTGTTGAATAGTACTTATTCAACTGTTGTATTATGCTACCTACAAAATCCCAAAGTGAGAAACAAGGCTTGAAGAGAAAAAAGCTTACAGAATACAGGGCTACTGGCTTCACACTCATCGGAACAAACTATAGTGCATTTCCTTAATAGCTGTGTTGTCGGGTTTGTAAAGGTTGTCTTCTGCTTACTAACTAACCCCCTACAGTAATTAAGATTTTTCAGCCCTCCGACTTCATACTTAGTGGAAATAAATTCTGGTTTTGCAACTAACAACTATTTGGTTAAAAATTGACATTACCAAGTCGAGACTGTCCCAAAGTATCATATCTGGTTCATATCAACTTATATTTTCTGTTTCATTTGGGATGAGAAAGCCTATTGTGTAGCCTTTATCCCTAGAGCAAGTTAAGCTTAAATATTCCTTCAAACATGGATCTCTGTGACCAGACTCTAGAAAGGCATTTCTGCATAGCATCCACACCCCCAGAAAAGTGTTCTGAAGCCCCAAACCACCACTACTATGGTGATGCCCAGGCCCTGGTGATCTGGAACTAACAGGATCTGCCACCTTCTTTCAGTTCTCTATTGCTGCATAACCAATCAGCCCCAACTTTTACCATAAACATTTACTAGCTCTACCCCTCTTCATTCCACCTGTCTCCAGTACAGGAACAGCCGTATCTCTATCAGTAGATGTGGTAAAATCCCCCACTATCATTTCAGAGAGTCTGCTCCAAGATCTGTCTTGATTTTAGCAAACAAATATTACAGCCTGGTTCTTTCCACAGCTTGCAAAGAGAGACTGTGAGAGAAGGGAGGTGGCTATAATTTGGTGGCCAAAGACAAACATTATTATCTATAGTATATATGTTATCCATGGTAGTGGCTCCATGGGTCGTGATTGCCATCAACTCTGAAGTCCTCACTGAACCCCTATGTAAAAATAGCATGTTACCAAATGCAGATTCCAGAAAAATCCCCAGCACCATCTTCCACCCAGATTGCTACCTCCTCAATCTTCTCTTACACAGAAATTCTAGAGCCATCCTTGCTTGAATATAAATTATTACATGTATTTCCAGAGCTTAGCACAGCTTCTGATGCTAGTTTGTTGCATATGTGAACAAAATTACCCACTAAGAGTCCATTTAAGTGTTTATTCTAAAATCTTCAAAGTATTTTCTTGTTTTATCCTAGTATAGTAATTTCAAAGACTGCCTTTAGTCATCACTCTGGGAAAGTGATTATAGAACATGTACTGTGGGCTCTTGGCTAAATATATTTTTCTATCTTACATGTGATCTCTCTGTCCCCCAATATCCCATAATTCATTGTTCTGATTGTGCTTAGAACATCCTGTTTCTACCAGATTGTGAGGACTTTAAGGGCTGGAATTTGGAGTTAATCTTCTTTGATTCTGTACGGTATCTTACAAACAAGCAGGTGTTTACATCAACATTAATTCAGTTTGTGTAATTTCCTTATCTGAGGGGCATCCTTTCTTTTGTAAAACGATGTTGTAAGCTAAAAACTCTAGTTGGCATGTTTTCAAGTGAAGAAAAGCCAAGGAAAAATAGCATGGTCTGGCAGGAAAAAGTGAGTATTGGTTTTGAACCATTTCACCCGTATTCTTAGATCTCTGCTCAAAAACAAAGGAGCTTTTCAGATCATTAAGAACAGAAAAGAAAGAAAGGAAAAGGAAGATGACATAAAATGGAAGAAGATGACTAGGGAAGGGTCTAGCCCTAATTTTGCCATTCACTTAAATGTCCTTGAGCATCTCATTTAACTTCTCTGCTTCAGTTTTCCCTCTGCACAATGAGGGAGTTGAACCACATGACTCTGATGTGATTTCCAATGCAATGATTCTAAGGTGTTGGGACACTAGAATTTCCTTTAATAACAACATCTGGGAAGAGCAAGTTCTGCTATTTGTCCTCACAGTGTTCTCCAAGAGGATAGACAGGTAACTGTAGACATTTTATCAGTTACCTATTGCAGTATGACAAAGTACCCACAAATTTAGGAGCTTTAAGCAAGAATGCACATTTATTCTCTTACTGAGTTTCTGAGGGTCAGGAATCCGGAAGTGGCTTAGCTGCGTGGTTCTGACTTGGGAGTCTCTCAGGAGTTTGTAGTTAAGAAATTGTTTGGGGGTTCAGGCTTCTGAAAACTTGACTGAGGCCAAAGGGTTGGTTTCCAAGATGGCACACTCACATGGCTGTTGGCAAGAAAGAGACTTGAGCTGTTCATCACATGGCCTTCCCTGTAGGGCTTCTTAAATAGTCTCAGGACTTGGCAACTGGCTTCACCCGTTCATGAGTGATCTAAGAGTGAGAGCAAAAAGGAAGCCACAAAGTTTTTAATGACCCAGTCTTGCAAGTCACTCTGTCACGTCTGGCACATTCTATCTGCTGGAAACAAGTTACTAAACACAGCCGACACTCTTACGGAAAAGAAATGAAGCTCGACCTCTTAAAAGGAGGGGTATCAACAAATTTGTGAATTTACTTATGAATTTGTGAACTTGTTTGAAAACCCCCACAAATATCACGTGCCGGTTAAAGTAGACTGGACCAGCACTGCAAGGGTATGGAAGTCAGAGCAAGGAACATTTCTAGGGTGACTCACTGTTTAGAAAGCGTATTCCCATGTTTTCTCAAGTTTGGTTGTCCCAACAACCCAGTGGATTGACAACATTAATATCCCCATTTAGAAATTAGGAAATGAAGACTAGGTGATTTTTATCAGGTTATTCAGCAAGTGAGTTGTGTAGCTGGGAATGAAAACCAGGTTTTCTGACACAAAACACAAGCTCTTTTCACAACCCTTCAAATGGGAAAATTGGCAAAAAGGCCTTTGCACCGACAAGTGTCCCTGGTGAGTTTGACTATTCTTTACTGCCTACTATTTTTCCTGTTTTATTAATTTCAGTATCTATTGTCAATTTACATACTTCTAAAATTACTTGAGGCAGTTTGCAAATGAAGTATTTAGGAAGAAAGTAGGAGGAGTAAATACTTCTAGGCACCAGAGTTGATCAGATTACCACACTTGGCAATGACTTCGGTTCGCATTTTTCTGGCAGGGAAGGTGGAGAGAAACATGATAGGTTACAGGGTTTCACTTTCTGACAAGCGTGAGCATACAAGTTATCATCGCCCAAAACCAAGTTCAAGAAGGAATTTAGCACATGGATCTGTGTAGAGATAACGCCACTTGACATCGTGGTCAGTATCCTCAATCCTGCTTGTATGGAAGACAGTCTCATTTTCAATCCTGTATATATACACAGAGAGGACATACATCACCTTTAACTTGATGAATATATTTGAGCAAGAGGCTAAGGAAAACATGGCCAGGGCACATCGTCTTCTAATTCCTTTATAAATTAAGAAATGGTACTTGGAGAATATACATGAAAAATGGTTAATCTGTCTGCTGGACTATCTTTAAAAAAAATTTTTTTTTAATTTTTCTTTTTTAATGGAGGTACTGACATTGAACCCAGAACCTCGTGCGTGCTAAGCATGCAATCTAACCCCGAGCTATATACCCTCCCCACCGCTGGACTATCTTAAGTATCAGGAATCATAAGTGAGGCTGCTTGAAATACCTGCTAAATCTCATTTCTTTGTCTTCACATCCTCTAATGTTCTATCTTGTCAATTAAATGAAGGGTTTCAGCTATCTGCTATAAGGGAGCAAGGAACACTAATACAATGTTATAGAAAAATGTGAAGTAAGTTGGACCACATGAACTCTAAAGTCCCTTTCTGGGTACAAATGCTGCAATTCTGTGACTTTAAGGGTGAGATACCAATATGCACTCTTGTCCTCATGGAGAGCCAGCCCACTTTGACCTGGGTGTGAGAAGCTATGCTGCCAAAAGCCTTGGCCAATTTTTTCCCCAAAAGGAATTTCAAGTATATCCAAGCTCCTGTGTTAGTGACTGATTGAAACCAAAGCTTTATGCCGCATGACATAGGATCCTGGAAGAGATAACTTCAGCCTGAAAAAAAGTTCAGGCAGGTGCAAGCAGCTGTCCAGTCCTGCTATAAAAGAACTCAAGTTTAGCTCCAGTGATAATGTGCCTTCTTCCAAGTACTCTGGTCCTGTCAGTATCTCTCCATTCAGCTGAAAAGTACACTCTAAATACTCACCCCAAAGAACAGGACTCTGTATACTCTGATTTAGATATCATAGTACTTATAAATATTTCTATTTATTAATGGGAATCCTCCTTCCAGAATAGAATTGTGAATGAAATGCATAAAAATTAATAGCCCTTATTTCTGTTTAAAACCAGTCTGTCTTCCTTCAATGAAGTAGGTAGATAATAAAGTAAATAATCCTTTAGTTAAAAAAATAAAAAGCATTCTTCTTGAACACTATTTATGTGCCCTGAGCAAATAGATACTCACTTACAAGGTTTTGCTTTCTGTTTATTACCTATGTTTCCATAATACTTGGTTGAGAAGTGTTGCAGAGACAAAATGAATGTGCATGGGAAAAGAAAAAAGAAATGAGTGTTACTCTTTGTGCAATAATCCAGGGTCCAGAAAAGGAGGCAATTAGCGTGGAGAAGCTACTTGTCAGACTGACTAGTATACTTAGATGCTCTTCTGGTCCACTGGCCAACATCTGCATTAGCCTTAACAATGCGTTGCCTTTCTGATTTAATAGGACATTGTTCAGCATAATCTTTTTTTTATATCAAATAGAATTGTGAGTATTAATTTTCATGGCATATAGAAAACTCCAAAAGTTGGAAAACTATTGGGAAGATGTTATGAAAAGCTGTCATTTAGAGTAACAGAAGAGGCTTAACAATCATACAACTTCAGAGCAACGGGGAAAATGAAAACATTAAATTGTGATGGGGAAAAGTCTATCAGGAAATTGTGTGAACTGAACAAATATTTACCAAGAAGAAAAGCTAGTGGAAGTCCCTCTGAGCAGATAGAAGGAGTGGCAAGGCAAGGAGGTCTTCCTGCATTCAGGAAGGAAAGACATTTGAATATAGCTGGAGCCCAGAACTCTGGGAAGGGAGTGAGAATGGGAGGAAAGGCTGGAGACAGGGGCAGAAGCCACACCTTGTAGAGCCTCACAGGCCTGCTAGGGGTCCTCTCTGGCTCAGCCTGGACCCCTTATCAGGCCTGCGTCAGTCAACTCTCAGCATCCTCCTTTCTATGTTGGCTGCAGGCCCCCGGGGCTCTGCTAGCTTTCTTCCCTCTGATAGCAATCGCCACCCACCCTTTCTCTTGCCTCTGGAAGGGAGTGTCCTCAGCTCCCAGCGTCTGTGTATCCTGGAGGACAGCACACAGCTTTGGTGGTGAAAGGATTTTCCATGCTAATTACAATGACAAAACGCTTGAGGAATAAGAAAAGTAACAGACTTGTATATGGGAAGTTTTAAACTTAAAAGTAACATGATTTGATTTACATTTTTGAGAGGTCACTTGGGATATCCTGCAGAGAATGGATTGTAGGGGGTAGTGGGTAGAGGAGAAGGAGGGAGAAGGTGGGAAGGCAGTGCAGGTACCTAGAAAGAGGTGATGGTGCCCTGAACTAGGATGTAATGGGCAGATGGTAAAAATTATTACATGTAGGGTACAGTTTGAAGATAGAACCCACAGGACTTGCCGATGGACTGCATAGGGTTGATGACAAGAAGACAGGAATCGAAGCTGAACCACTGAGTGGGGGAGGGTGTAGCTCAAGTGGTAAAGCACATGCCTAGCTTGCAGGAGGTCCTAAGTTCAATCCCCAGCACCTCCTCCAAAAATACACAAACCCAGTTACCTCCCTCACCCCTGCCAAGATAAAATAATCAAATAGTGCAACAGTAAGTTAAAAAATAAAATAAAATAAAAAGATGAACCATTGAGCACCTAGATAGGTGTTGCCCTGCTCACCAGGCTTTGCCCTTCCAAGCTATGAGCCTTTCTGCACATCTCCTTTAACTGAATAGCTTTGGGCTTTGGGATGAAGTGCTGTAAATAACTGAAAACATTTAAGTAGGGAAATGACAAGTTCATTTTTTCTCCTCTTCCATTAGGCTTACATTTCCTCCATCAGAATGACTTTGTTGGGTGAGATGACAAGTGTGGCTGCTATCCAGGAGGAAAGGGTGTGAGTGTGGATGTGTGTGGGTGCACACATGTATGGGGAAGAAAAGTGCTCCTTCCCCCATTCACAGTGTAAATTGCTTTATCTGTCTCATCTTTTTAGACAGCAGGGAGTTGGCTCTGATGTGATGGAGCACAGGACAGAACACTGATGAGATAAGGGTGAGAGAAAATGCTGACAGCAGCAGAGGAGGTAGCAGGTGAGGGATTCCAAAGGCCCACTTTACCCTCCTATACCCACTTCTCAGAATTGGTTCTATGAAAAAAGCAAGTCAGCTGGAGGTCCCTTCCACCCTTGTTGGCCAGGCTGCATCAAGGAATCAATCACAGAGCTGATTTGGGGCTCAAAGGAAGGGCAATGGTTATAGGTGTTCACCACCTTGGTCCCTGCTCGTCCAATAATTATACAATTCAAGGATGTCTGAAGGGAAAGGAGCCCCTTAAGGAATTCCTGAGCCTTTCTGCTGGGCTCACATTCAGACTGTGGTGCTGGAGAGTTACCCCAGGGGCGCAATTAGAGGAATAGTGTAACCATATAACCACAGTAAATCACTTCACCCTTGTGATGCTTATTTGATATCAGTAATTGAGAAAACAGATTTTACTCCATTTAGAACTGTTATGACAACACCTGAATGAATGAGCCCAGAGGAGTCCAGAAGGGTGCAGTGGAGTGAAAGTGTTCCCTCTGCCTCCACTGAAGAGCCTTCCTTTGAGTCTATCTTGAGTGGAGTTTAGAGGAACTAACTGGACGCCTTGAAATGGCAGCTTCTGTAATCGCCAGTCGTGGCATGGCTTCCTGATGTCGTTGCTTCTGTAGAATAGAAAAGATGCTCATATTGAGCACAGTGATCTCCCATTATAATTACAGGAACACAAAACTATTAGTTGCATCCCTACCTACCCCGCCCCTGACAAGGCTCTTTTTCTTCAGCACTAGAGAGCTGGGAGTAGAACTGGGCCTGAAATTCAGCTGTTGAATGTAGCTGCTAAGTCTGAAGTTGTGCATGATGTCCCTGTGTCAGAGCAATGTTAGTCAGGCTCAGTGGCAGTCTAGTGGCTTAGGGAAGAAAAGCACTAGAGCATTTATTTACTCATCTGTTCTCCACTCTACTTCATAAATGTTTTAAGGAAGCTGCTACATACAAACTATTAGAATCTTACTCTTTACCCTGATGAATGACAAATGATTTTATTTTAACCAGTGACATTAATGTTTACATTCTATTTTCTCCCAAGTAGAATATTTTCCTTTGCACCTAATACAAGCTTCATATTTGCAGTTGGCTACCTACCACACCCTCTCTGAAAATCAAGGTCACAATAAAAGAAAGAGCATTCTGTTAACAAGCAACATCCATTTAAAATAGCAATACTGCTTTCAAGGTTCTGTCATTATTCAGACAGGCACTCAAGGCGATCACTTCCTTGGATCACTTTCTTGGCACACATAGAAGTCCAAATGTAAGATGTATTCTGTGGGCAACTGTCTGCTTATTTTCCTTTCTAGACAAGTGGTTAACCCGTGTTGAATATCCTGTGTTTATAGAATTCCAGAAAGGTTATGTCATAGAAATCACTGGTGTATGTGTGTGTATGCGTACGTGTGAGAGACAGAGAGAGACAGAGAGAGATTTTTGGAGAGAATGTAAACTGAAACATCTTGAGGAGAAACCCATCGGTGTATAGTGAGTGACTGAGAATGTCCACAGAGGATGCTGGCCTTCACTTCCATGTGTTGCTTATTGTGTGCACTATTTTCGGTTTTATAAGCAGGAGAATAAAAGGATACACCCAAGTGGCAACAGGTGAAAAAAAACAAAAAACAACTAAAGTTAGTCATATCAGTTTATTAAGTCTATCACTTGTAAAGTTAAAAAACTTCTTGGAGTGGGGAGATTATAGCTCAGTGGTAGAGTGCCTGCTTAGCATGCAAAAAGTCCTGGGTTCAATCCTGAGTACCCCCATTAATAAGTAAATAGACAAATAAACCTAATTACCTTCCCCACAAAAAAAAACCCCAAAACAACAACAAAAACACCTTCTTGAAGTCATAATCAGATGCAAAAAGCCTTAATTTACATTAAAAAACTTCAATTCATTTTTGTTATAAAAATCTCTCAGGGTTCTTAAATGAGCCTCAGCTTCTAAAATAAACAGAGTGTATGAAGGAAAAAAATAGAATTTATTAGAAGGAAAAAGTCCCAGAGGAGCATTTATATTTTTAACATTGCCTTAAATTGAAAGAAAAATGTTATTACATGGTTTATCCCCATGAACTTAACTACTTTTTTGGGGGAAGAGTGCTATTTTAAATTCAGGGCTTTGTTTCTGATTTTATTTTTATTTAAAAAAAAATTTTTTTATAACAGAGGTACTGGAGATTGAACCCAGGACCTCACAGATGCTAAGCATGCGCTCTACCACTGAGCTACACCTACTCCCTCGTTTCATTTCTGGTTTTAAAATCACAATTAGCATAATCACTAAAGAAAATGTTTCTCCTGATATCCAAAAAACAGCTTAATGTTTTAATTTATCCAAACTACCAACTGAATGCTACAGGCCATTTTGAAAACCTTCCCTAATCCTTGGAAATATCATGCTTTCTGTTATGTATTTTCAATCACTAATCCCCGGAAAAAACATACCTTCTCTCATTTTCTATTTAATGTTTGCTATTGTTGTAATCTAAGTAGGGTCTCTTTGTGAAAATGAAAAACCCACAATTGAGTCTTACATCCTGTGGTCTTGGAATTTTAAAATTTCATTCAAAACACACATTATAAACAAAGTCTCCCAAATGACCATCTAGAGAGGAATGTGGCAAAAATCCAGGAACTATTGTAATATTTGGAACTAGCATAAGCACAAATAATCAGTATGTTTTTTTCAAGGGGGGATTAAGGGTTACAGTTTTACAAACCCTACAGAGGATTTACACGAGATGGGCAAAGCTAAATTCCAGACTCGTTATGTGTTTCCAAAAGTAACCAAACCCGTTACGGTGAATGAAGAGGAAGAAGCATTAAAAGGACCTTCTTGATAACTAATATTTGTTCAATATAACCATAATTTGAGGAAACATTCTGGCTTATACATTCCTATAAAACTCAAGTTCAAAGCTGTACACTTGACAGGCAGTTCTTTAACACGTTAGTTAGGTGATTATTAACAGTGGAGACGATTCAGGGTGGGAGGGCGTGGTAGAAGGAACGACAATGGACAACACCAAAAATGATGTCACCAAGTCAGGAAAATCCAAATTTTAGAGGCAGGAAGACCAGTGGAGTTATTGAAACACAAAGTAAGATTCTGAAAAAGCACTTTTAAGAAGTAAATCTGTCAAATGGATTGAAGTAGAATTAAGACTAACCATTTTAGAGGCATTTAAAATTGAAACTTGTAAGAGAAAAGTTAGGGCAGTGAAAACTGTATTATTATCTGAAAATATGCAACCTGTCCTGTAGAAACATCACGTTTCCCTCTAGAAAAAGAAAGAAAAGAAAGAAAGAAAGAAAGAAAGAAAGAAAGAAAGAAAGAAAGAAAGAAAGAAAGAGAAAGAGAAAGAAAGAGGGAGGGAGGAAGAGAGAGAGAGAGAGAGAAAGAAAGAAAGAAAGAAAGAAAGAAAGAAAGAAAGAAAGAAAGAAAGAAAGAAAGAAAGAAAGAAAGAAAGAAAGAAAGAAAGAAAGAAAGAAAGAAAAAGAAAGAAAGAAAGAGGAAGGAAGAAAGGAAGAAAGGAAGAAAGAAAGGAAGAAAAGAACTCCAAAAAAGGAATGAGGTAATGAACTCGAGATAAACTATTTAGGGACAGGGCAGGGGAGAGAGAATCAACTAAGATGCTGGAAACCAGTCACATTTCAAAACGATTCTTCTTGGCAAAGTTGAATGTACTATCTTTAAGTGTTTCTCATTTTACACCTCAGTTGTTGGGGTCTACTAATTTATAAACTCTTCTAAACCTGCTTAGAAGAACATCCTTACCTAGAGGATTCACCCTAAATTTCATGCTATTTTCAATAGCATTATTAACGCCTAATGTAGATCTGCAGACACCGACAGTATCTAATTATTATTATTATTTTTTTGCCTGTAGATAGTTGAATGTGAGTAGATTTTACCACCTCCATAGTGTTTCAGTTTCAGTTTTAACACACCGTTCTGAGAAACTTTTATGAACTAATATAGCATTTTAGGCTGTTTTGCTTTTAATCATCATGAAAAGGCATCAATTCACTGGGCAGAACAAAGGAAAAAGATTTTCTTTATTTAAATGATACGAATTTTATAGCACACAAACAGGAATTACATTATCCTGACAAACAACAAACTGCTTCTCAGAAATGATAGTTATGACTGCTTTTAAAATAACATAGTAATCACTCCCCTTCTAAATAGATAATTATTTCTGAATATTAGCTCTGATAATACATGACCTAACAGGCAAAATGAAATGGGAAGTTACGTATTGTAAATTTTTTTAAATGATGCTCTAACACTTATGACAAACCTCAACATACTGCCACTCCTTTCACAGTAAATTTTTTTTCTTTTTAGTGAAAACCCTTAATGAAGAAGCAATGTTTCTGGAGGAGTAAAAATAGCATGAAATTATAGGTTATCCAGTATACGTAAAAGAGTTCTTGACTTGAAGGCAGAAAGATGGCATCAAATCTGGTTTGTCCACTTCTGACCCAGGTGTCCTTGGGCAAATCACCTGAAATTTGGGAGTTTCACTTCCTTCACCTATAAATAGGGATAAAAACCATCTAACAGCACTTGGTCAGGGGTAAGAGTTGGCGGGTGGATTATAATGTGAATAGCTGGTAAGAGGCTTTGCCCATTTGTAATTGGCACTGAGAATTTGAATGCTCATCACTTTCCTTTTCCTATGTAAACTTCACCAAAGAAAGGTAGAAATATCCAAGTCTGTACTTTTGAAAGGCCTTGGTATCTACATCCTGCTAGAGTCTAAGAGTAAGCTTAAAATTGTAAAGGTTGTTGCTCTCTACTTGTATTGTTTGAAAACCTTTTAAAAAGAAATTACACAATTGAAGCACTTGGAGCAGTTTAAGCACAATGAAAGGAATTTACCATGAAGAGGGCAGTTGATCTGAATAAAGTCAGCTTCCTCTTCCTCCTAGCATTTTTCCTCCTGCTCAGTTTTTTGCATAGCTTTCATCATTATTTAAAACGGCCTTACTTATTTGTTTACCCTTTTATTATCTGTCTCCTCTTTGAACACAAGTCCCCTGAGGACAGTGATCTTGTCTTAGCTTGCTCAAACCTGTCTCCCCAGCGCTTACCAGAGTGCCTGGCTCATGGTGCTCAGTAAATATTTCTTTTTGAATCAATGGATGACAGAGAAAGATTCAATAAGATGAAAGTTGGATAAGACAAAATGAGCCATCAGGTGGAGCTGAGGCTGTAAGGAGGTAACTGAGATATCTGATGGCAAATTTAGAAGGTTATACTCAGACAGACTCAGTCCATCTGGCCCTGGGTTTCCAGACAGGGACCTTCGGGTTGAACTTATGAAAGTTACAGATGAATATCCCAAAACATCCAAACAAGGAGGGGACTCTGCTGATCAGACGCCTATCTTGTTATGACAGGCTTTTTGCATATGTATTGTGTGTATCTTATTCACTACAAACATATGAGGTGAGTACTAATATTAACCCCCTTTTGCCAAGTGATCCCAGAAGTTAAGGAACATACCCAAGGTTAGCCAGTTGGTATGAAATAAATTCCCTCCTCTGTGCATCACATGACTTCCATTAATTTCCTTTAGTAACTGTTATGGGTCTAAAT